CTGAGTAAAACCTATATTTAGCAGTCATTTTTAAAGCATTATTTGTGTGTGGGTATGTGTGTGAATATGTATATGAGTACTTATAGAGGCCAGAAGAGGATGCTGAATCCCTGTAGGTAAGGCTGGTTGTGAGGTTTCCACATGGGTTCTGGGAACAGAACTTTGATCCTCTACAAGATCAGCAAAAGCTCTTAACCTTTGAGCCATTATTCCATTCCTTTATCTGGTATTCTATATGAAGGCATCATTCCTTGCTTAATAGTGAACATTCTATTCAAATTTCTGTTAATATTTCACAAGAAATTTATTAAAAATTAATACTAAAAGATGTTTTAAAGTCTCAGAGATTATTTTGAAGATCCCCAATACTAATTTATAGCCTTTACTTCACAGAGCAAAGGTCCAGCAATACTGCACATGTAACTCAACAACTTCTAATTATTACTCAAAAATGTTTGTTAAACAGGTTTTTCAGACTTTTCCACTAGTGTGATGTTTGTAGTGAAGAGTAAGAATGAAGTTTTCCATGTGCGTTCAAGTATGTAAAGAACTTAAAGTCAATTAAAAGAATAATATATATGTAAAAGATTTGCCAACACCTCTGTGGTTTACAAATCAATGAATTTAAAGAAAATCTATTAATATATCATTGACATTTGACCCTTTTAGCAAATAACAAACACACTTTATTTAGAAGGTATTTTACATCGGGTATTTGGAAATAATAATGATTAATTTTGATGGTCAACTTGATTGAATTCAGAAAAAACATAGAATAGAGTGTGGTGATGAACAGAGGCAGGTGAATCTCTGTGACTTTGACGTTAGCCAGATCTACATACCATGTTCCAAGCCAGCCACAACTACACAGTGAAAAAAAAAAAAAAGAGGAGGGACCAGAGCAAGACCCATTACTGAGCTGCACCTTGGGTGTGACTCTGGGGATTCTTACAGAGAAAATTGACTGAGGGAGGCAGACCTGCTCTAAATGTGAATGACACAACCCTATGAGATGGTGTCCCAGACTGATGAAAAGGAGAAAAGGAGAAAGCTACTGTGGAATTTTTTCTCTGTCCCCTTCCCCCCAGATAAGAGCTAGCTCCCATAGCCACATGCTACATCTGTTCCGTGCCTTTTCTTTCTTTTTTTTTTTTTTTTTTGCTTTGTTATCAACTATGCTTATTAAGCAGTCAAGGAAGCTCTTTGTATGTGGACTTAGCATATGGAAGTTCTAAATTTTTATGAATAAAAACGTTTGAACTTGAGGCCTACCTGCTAATTCTATTCACCCTGAATTTCTTCAGTGGACAGGCCGTGTGCCAGAACTGTGTTTCTCAAATACTACTATAAGCAACACATTCATACCTGCTTATTTGAAGTCATACAGAAAAGTGTTTTATATTTCTTAGGTCTTCAATTTCTGTTTTCAGAGGCTTGAAGTTCTTGTCATATAGATCCTTCATTTTCTTGGTTAGAGTTACAGCAAAATATTTTATATTATTTGTGGCTATTGTGAAGGGAGTTGTTTCCCTAATTTCTTTCTTGGCTTGTTCATCACTTGTATATAGTGAGGCTTCTGGTTTGTTTGAGATTGTTTTATATCCAACCACTTTGCTGAAGTTATCAGCTATAAGAGTTCTCTGGTAGAATTTTTGTGGTTGCTTATATATACTGTCATATCATCCACAGATACATGTGACACCTTGAGTTCTTTCTTTCCAATTTGTATCTCCTCGATCTCATTTTGTTGTCTAATTGCTCTAGATGGAACTTTGAGTATTATAGTGAATAGATGGTGAGAGAGTAGGCAGCCTTGTCTAGTGCCTGATTTTAGTAGGGTTGTTTTATGTTTCTCTCCATTTAATTTGATGTTGGCTGTTGGTTTGCTATACTTTGCTTTTATGATGTTTAGGTATGTTCCATGAATTCCTGAGTTCCCCAAGACTTTTAACATAAAGAGGTGTTGTAATTTGTTAAAGGCTTGTTCAGTATTTAATGAGATGATCACTTGATGTTTTTCTTTGAAGTTGTTTATATAGTGGATTATGTTGATGGATTTTCATAAATTGAACCATTCCTGTATCCCTGGGATAAAATCTTCTTGATCCTGATGAATGATGACTTTGATGTTTTCTTGGATTCAGTTTGCAAGAATTTTATTGAGTGTTTTTGCATTGATATTTCTAAGTCAAATTGGTCTTCGTGTGATTTAGGTATCAGTGTAACTGTAGTTTCATAGAATAAATTAGGCAGTGTTCCTTTTGTTCCTATTTAGTGGAAGAGTTTGAGGAGTATTGATATTAGCTCTTCTTTGAATGTCTGGTAGAACTCTGCCATCTAGCCTTGTGCTTTTTTTAAGTTGGGAGATTTTAAAGACTGCTTCTATTTCCTTAGGGGTTATAGAAGTATTTAGATACTTCACTTGATCTTGTTTTAACTTCGGTACACGGTATCTGTCTAGAAAAATCATACGCTTCATCTATATTTACCAGTTTTGTTGAGTATAGGCTTTTGTAGCAAAATATGATGAGTTTTTTTGAATTCCCTCAGTTTCTGTTTTTATGTCTTCCTTTCATTTCTCATTTTGTTAGTTTGGATACTATCTCTCTGCCCTGTTGTTGATTTGTCTAAGGAAGGGTTTATCTATTTTCTTGATTTTTCTCAAAGAACCAGCTCTTGGTTTTGTTGATTCTTTGTATTGATTTCCTTGTTTCTAGTTGGTTGATTTCAGACATGATTTGCATATTTCCTGCCATCTACTCTTGGGTATGTTTGCTTCTTTTTGTTCTAGAGCTTTCCCTTACAACTTTTGATATTCTTTCTTTGTTCTGTACATTTAGTGTTTTTCTTATTATATAATGGGAGGGTTTTCTTTGCTGGTCCATCTATTTGATATTCTGTATGCTTCTTGTATGTTTATGGCCATATCTTTTTTAGATTAGGACATTTTCTTCTATGATTTTATTGAAGGTGCTTTCTGGCCCTTTGAACTGTGAAACTTCATCCTCTTCTATTCCTATTATTCTTAGGTTTGGTCTTTTCATTGTGTCCCAAATTTACTTGATGTTTCAAGCTAGGAATTTTTTACCCTTTGTATTTTCTTTGACTGATGTGTCCATATCTTCTATGGTATCCTCTGAGATTCTTTCTTCCATCTCTTATATTCTGTTGGTGTTGGTTGCATCTGTAGCTCCTGATCTCTTTCCCAGATTTTCCATCCCCAGGGTCGCCTTCTTTGTGATTTTTTTATTGTTTCCATTTCCATTTGTAGGGCTTAGACTATTTTGTTCAATTCTGTCACTTGTTTGATTATATTTTCCTCACTAGGACTCCTCTCAGTTGCCCTGTGTCATGGAGATTCTGCACTTTTGGATCTGCAGGACTGGCTCCTTCATACACTCTAGCAGTTCATTAAGGAGGTAGATGTTGGGATAGGCTAATTCAAAACCCTGAATCTGGGCCTGAGATATGTCTGAGCTGATCAGCCTGCCAGCTGTCCTACACTCACACCATAAAGGTGAGTTTTCTTGCCCTTCCCTGGCTGGTCCATCAATGCTGCTGCCAGCCTGGGGCAGAGTATGCCCTCCTGCTCATGCCCTTGTGGCTGGCTCAACCATGCCCTTGCCATCAGGGCCAGCTCTATTGTGCTGACAAGGAAAGGTTCAGGGCCTGCTCTCAAGAGTGCTACAGCAAGCAAGAGACAAGGGCCAGTTCTCCCAGTCTCATAATCGTGGGGCCAGTTTTCCTATCCATTCCTTGACATAGGTGACAAGAGACAAAGGAAGGAAAGAGGACATTTTTCCCTAGTCCAGGCTACCACACAGCAGACAAGAGTCAGAGCCAGCTCTCCAGCAATCCTCTTGTCCAGGACCAGCTCTACTGTACAGCCCAGGCAAGATGCAGGGCTTGTTCTCCTGAGTGTTTCAGCAGATAAGAGAAAAGGCTAGCTCTCCTGCTTGCTATAGGGCTTGATATCCTGCCTGCCATAGACAGCAAGGGGCAAGAGTGTGGGAGGGCATCAATCCTATATCTATGTCATAGCACAGAAGACAAGTTGCAGGGCCAACTCTCCGACACCCATATCTTCAGGCCAACTCATCTGCACCCCTATCACAAGGGTTAGCTCTACTGTGCTGTAGGTGGGGAGGGCAAAAGGGAGGGGATGGTATTGCTCCTTCACTGAAGCCATCCCTGGGCAAACAAAAGGTAGAAGTCAACTCTCCGATGTTCATGTCTTCAGAACTGGCTTACTCCAAATTCTGCAAACCAGGGCCAGCTTAACTGTGCTTCTTGGGCAATATGTGGGACCACTCTCCTGAGTACTGCAGCTGGCTAGGGGCAGGGACATGTCCCCTGCTCGCATATTCCCAAGGCCACTTCTCCCATGATTCCCAGGTGGAGAAGGGGGGTCAGCTTTGCATAGCCCTCAGACATCAACATCCCCATGTAGCAGCCCAGACCAAGGACTTCTGCCTGGCCTTTAGTGATAACAGACCCATGCTCCCGAAGGGCCACGAACTCAGATGTGTCCCTCAGTGGCAGCACAGGTCAGGATCCCACCTTGGTCCTAGGTGCCATCACTAGTTCCCCACATCAGGCTGTTCCTCACTGCTCTGAGTCTCTGGTTCTGCTTTGTCAATGTGCCCACAGGCTTCTGCTGCTTTTTCTCTTCCATTTCCCTATCACTTACTTGCCCCTTCTAATGGCACCTGGAGTCTCTAAGTGTCTAGGGTAGTTTATGAGTGTTTCAGGAATGCTATGCCCTTACCTGTGTATTATAGCACCAAGGAGGTGTCATCTAGGGCATGGTCTGTGCCCCCACTCTTGAGCCTGAATGGTGGACATCTCAGGCTATCTTCCTTCCCAGGTCCCATGGCATTAGATTAGTAGTTGTCTTGTGCTTGCTTCACTCCCAGCCTGAACCTGTGGCCCTATGTGGAAATCCTCTGGCTCTTGCTCACTCCTGACTGGTGGTCAGCTCAGGCTTGCTTTTTTCAGGGAGTGTTAAGCTACTAATCATACAGATGTTCGCAGGTCAGAACACTGAGCATAGGCATAGCCTCTCTCCTCTCTGCCACCTACAGAAGTACCTGTGACACAGCAGCCACACCTGAAATGCCCCTGGGAGCAGGGATTTCTCATTTTTACTTTTCTTTCCTCTTTGTTTAGTTCATTGGACATGATTAGCTTCAAGTTGTTTATTTTAATGGATATTCTAATTAATGTTACCTGGTTCATTAGCATTTCTTTGGGTTAAAAATGGCTATACTTTCTAAATGTTCATATTCATTGAACATTCATTTATTCTTTGTAAGAATTCATGGTCAACTTTCTTATTTATTTGTTTTTCATATATTTTATCTTATATTATGTACCAATTCTTTACTTTTTAACTTTTGTGGTCTGAAGGACACTGAAATTTGCTATTCCTTAGTCTATTTTATTATTTCCTTTCATTTTGAATGTAGTTATGTTATGGCCTTTCAAAATTATTAATGTGTTACTTCTATACACAAATATTAGAAGCTGATTCTACTTTGTAATTTGAATATTTTAGTATTATAATTATTCATATTTGTATTTTGATTTTATTATTGAATTTTTTTTATACATCAAAATTAAAATTCTGACTTTGGAGTTTTTGTGTTTATTTTTAATCATGTTGAATCTGTTTGAATTTTATTATTTCATACATTATATAATTATGCTATTTGATTTTTCTACTGGCCTTAATGATTATGCTTAACTACGTCAATAATAGTCTAATATTTTTATTACGACCAATATGTTTTGTTGCAATTTTGAAATATAAGATTACATATGTGGATATTTCATAATCATTTTTGTTAATAATCAATTTCAAGTTCAAATGTACAAAAACTGTTTTACATCAGTGTGTTTGTCTTTAAAATCCTTTAACAGAAAATCACTAACACTAAGGGTATATATATACATACATGTATGTATACATACAAATATATACTTACAGTAAAACTACAAGCATTATAGATTCAAGGTAACTGTTACTCATTTGCCACCCATTACCACATAACTTAAACTTTGTGAATCTCAGCAGAGTATTTACAAGGGAAGCACTTGCTGCTCTGAGCCTGATTATTTTGTAATCTGATTATTCACAGCTTGCTAATTTGTAATTGGGCTTTAACAACTAGAAAACCTCCAGATTTCAGAAAAAACTAATTTATTTTTTTTCTGTGGTTAATTGTTATGTTCACACTCAAAACAGTGGAGCGAGATGACTTCTAGTGGGCTTTGTGCAGTGTTCTGGAACCAATAAAATGTATTATTGATTGCCTAATGAGAAGCACCACGTTCATACAAACTCACTGTGTCTGGGCAGGGATACAACTGCTCCTTCCATTCTGTCCTGAGAATCACCTGCCATCTCACCCTAGCTGACTGCTACAGAGCAAATGTGCTTTAAATTAGGCTGGCGGAACCGACAGGGAGCTTTGCTCAGCCTCTTATCTTCATCCTTTCCTACAGAGCTGCCTATTGCTTCCAATTTAGCTAAAGATCATCAAAATTAATTATGATCGAGTGGTACAAAAGTTGAGACAAAGTTAAGTCACTTTGAATCTTCTGAAATTAGGTAGTAAAGTAATATATTTCTCCCCACCACTACATAAGGCTTAAAAAAGCTGATCAGATAAGATGATTAAATTTATTGTTTGAAAAACTACAATTTTAAGAACATGTGAAGAAAACAGATAGTGCAAAGGTAACCTGGCTTGTCAGGGTCAAAAGGGAAAATTAGGGCAATATTATATTTCATTAGACATTTTGATCAGCATTCTCAAAATATAGCTATTGAAGTCTTGTGATTGGGAGAATGAAAACAGTGTAATTTCAGAACACAAAATTTCAAAGGACTTCTATGACATTAAACACAGTCAAAGAAGTAATCTCAGTCAGAAAAGTTTGCCATGTCTGTGATAACTCATGCCACTATAATTTCTGCTTTTAAACAACCAAGGTTCATTGAGTACTTACGTTAGTCAGGGTTCTCTAGAGGAACAGAATGGCTAGGATAGATATGAGTTGTCAAATCATATTATGCAATTTGGTTAATATCAACTGTCCCGCGCAACCTCCCGCCAGCAGGAAAGACGTGGCACACTCAGGATCCTTCTGCAGTATAAGCTTTAATGCATCTTGAGAGGGAGAGCATAAGCTTCACAAACGAGGAGGGACCCCAAGGGCCTAAAACCCTTCCCTTATATAGAAAGCTAAGCTCGCCTGGGACGTGGCAGTCTCTGATGGGCTCCTGTTGCCTCAGGCCACATGACGTGTTCCAACTGTCAGATTAATAAAGGCGGGAAAACCTTCCAGCGCATGCGCACAGACTTGTTAATGGCAATGATGTGATAAGGATAGCTTCCCACATCTGCCCCCTTTTTTATTTAAAAGTGACCCTAAGAAGAGGCCATAGAAAAGTGAAAGAGTTCAGGCCGGGCAGACACAAACCAATCAAAAGGAGAGAGGTCTAGATTTTCTCCTCCTCAATAAGTGAGGCAGGCCCGTGTCTCTACACTCACTTCGGGGTGCAATGGGAACTCGAGCCCTCCCGAGCTTAACGAGTGTGAGAACAACCATATCACAGTCCTCAAGGTGCAATGGGAACCCGAGCCCTTCTTGAGTCTGGATTTGGTTCCTGGGACAGATAGAGAGAAAGAATTAGGGAAGCCAAAATGCCCAACTCTTGTGCAATGGAGAAAAACTCCCAGAGGTGCCAGGGCCATTTGGCAGGGGGAGGAGATGGTATTACAGATTATGGCCTTGTCTTAACAGGTCTTTGGGGCAGTTGTTAATCATGGCTATCCAGTCCCTTAGTCCAGTGCTACAAGTGCCTGGGCAATCACCACCTTATCCTGTTGTCACTGTGACCTGAGCTTGCAAAGGAGCCGCAACACGAGCGCCAGCCCACAGCAGAGCAAGGCTCCGAAAAGACCCACCCCCAACCATTCTTTAAAATAAGAAAATATTGAAGAGATCCATGTAGACAGTCCTTCGGTCAGGGACAAATCAAGTCTGGTAGAATTCACTTCTATAATCGCAAAGCGTAACTTCCGAAGCGTCTCTTCAAACTCTACAGTCCAATTCTGTAATAAAAACTGAGATAAAGTTTTAGAAAAATTTGCTGCTTCCTCGTCTAACTCCGCCTCCTCTGTAGAATCTAATGACTCCTCACTGGAGTCCCCAGAGGAACTCTCTGCACTGTCGATAGTCAGTGCCTCTAGGTTGGGGTAAAGCGAGCTTTTCCCATTAGGGGGTATCTCTCCTTTTTTAGGAGGGTTCTTTTCTTCAGCTGAAAGGTGTTCCTTTTCCTTTTGTTTCGGTACCTTTTTCCTACGCGCGCCCATCCTCTCACTGCGTTCGGTTTCTGACATGCTATCCTGAACATCTTCTAGCGTAGCCTGTCCTTTCCTTATGGCTATCTTACAGTTTTCATCTTGTAGGCAGTTCTTAATAAGTTTCCAGATCGCAACTGTGCCGTTACTCAAATCGTTGTCATCGCGGTGCCTTTCTAAGTCCTTTCCCAGTTTATTCCAAGAGGGGAGAGCCAAAGACCCAGAGACGGCAAACCAGGGGGCAACGCGATCCACCTCTTTTATGAAGTTCCTCAAAGTCCTGTTAGCAATTTTAATATCCCGCTGTTTGAGTACGGCCTCCAAAGTAGTGATTACTGACTGTGATGAACCCATGACGGCCGCGGCTTATCTACGTCCGCCTTAGTACCGTCTCAAAAGTGAAAGTAACAGCGGCCCAGCCCGCGGCTTATCTACGTCCGACTAACGGCCGGGAGTCAAGAGGAACTTTGTCCCACCTTTATCTACAGGAGGGAGAAAGAGACAAGACCAGTGTCACTGGCTATTTACTTCAGACTACTTTGCCACTAACAATGGCCACCGCGAAGACAGAGCAAAACAAGCACCATGAAAATGACAGCCAAGCACAACCCGAATATTTCAGGAATAGACATACCTCTCCGAACTCACCCCTGCAGTTCTGAATCCTCCTCTATCGAGGGGTCCTCCAAGGTGCTGACGATGGCAAGGTCAAGTGTCCCGGGTTTCTGGCACCAGTTGTCCCGCGCAACCTCCCGCCAGCAGGAAAGACGTGGCACACTCAGGATCCTTCTGCAGTATAAGCTTTAATGCATCTTGAGAGGGAGAGCATAAGCTTCACAAACGAGGAGGGACCCCAAGGGCCTAAAACCCTTCCCTTATATAGAAAGCTAAGCTCGCCTGGGACGTGGCAGTCTCTGATGGGCTCCTGTTGCCTCAGGCCACATGACGTGTTCCAACTGTCAGATTAATAAAGGCGGGAAAACCTTCCAGCGCATGCGCACAGACTTGTTAATGGCAATGATGTGATAAGGATAGCTTCCCACAATCAACACCTTTCTAATACCCATGAGGCTAAGAGACTGGTGCAGTTAGTTGCTCTGTCTATGTGGTTTGATGTTTCAGCCATCCCAGTCTTGCACTGATGATGTGGAGGTACCTGGAGAGCCTGAAAATTATGGTTCTAATACAGCCATAGAAAACAGCTCAGCTGCAAGAAGGATGGCCAAGAGGGAAAAAGGTGAATAATATTCCTTTTTCCATATCATTTTTTTTTTTACAGAATGGTACTGGAAAGTGAGGCCCCCACTTTCAGTAGATTGTCCCTCATCAATTAAGACATTTATTCAACTGAAGCTTCCTGCTCAGGTGATAGTAAATTGTAGCAAGTTCCTATCATGAGCAGAATATATTGTATAAAAATTATTTTCAATATGACTTAAAATTTAAAATAACAGAATTGATGAAATCAGAAAAAAAGAAAGAAAACCAGCCATCACACTAAATGTTAAATGTAATGAGACAAAAAGTTCTTCATACAACTATTCCAGAATAGAGGTTTCATTTGGCATAGAGTTCTGAGACATATTACATTGGTAAATGATTGGAAGAGTCTGAACATGCCATGTTTCTTTTGGTTTAACTGAATTACATGGCCCCATACACACAGGGGCGGGAACTGGACAATAATTTTATACCTTCTCTGAGCCAGTATTTGAGTGAACAATTAACAATTATTGAAGACTTAAGGACTAACACCGAGT